ACTGTGCAGCGTAGAAATGCCTAGATAAATAGCAGGACTCCAGATCATCTTTCTGCATGTTGCTGCATGAAATGAGCAACTTCTCAAGTGGCGGTGGGTGATGTGCAAGCGGCTCATTTGTGCAAAGTTCTGCATGGGGCACCAGCATGCACAGAGGCCTCAGCTTAGGGCACCGCAGATGGATATTAGTACAAACAGGCTGAAAAGGGCAGTTGCCACACACTTAGTGGATTGTAAAAATAAACCCTGACAATGGATCAGTTCATTTCTGGCATAGCGCGCAATGAGTTCTGCAGTTGCAATTCTGGTCTTGCCCTCGCTGCTTCCTAGAGATGAGCCATAGTTCAATGGAGGACCATACTCCTACCACAGAAAAGGTCCCGGGTTCAGTGGTGTCGGGGGGGGCAAAGGGGCAATCACCCCAGGCATAGTTTTGGGGGCTGCATTTTGCTCCTTACACAGCCCTGGCAACCCCACACTGCATTGTGAGGCTGGGATCAACTTCAGTGCAACAGTGAGTTCTTTTTTACCCCTATGCATTTCAGTAGATTGCACAGGGGTTTAATTGGTTGGGGGGGGAGAGAAAATGGACAGTAACCCGCCCCCAATGGTTGGTAAAGGGGGGGAAAGCACACCCCTGCCAAGGACATTGTGGGGAGGACAAAAGGCTCCTTGGAAAGCTTTCCCTCCTCACCTGCTTTGGGGGCTGTCATCCATCATTATCCCTATACATGCCTACAGAGACTAGGTCTTGTTGGAATGCATTGGAGGGGAAAAATAAGGGCAGGGAAAGCTGCAGCCCCAAATAGACTGGTGGGTTGAAGAAGCCACCGCTACCATCCTGGGGAAACAGGTCTCTTGATGGGGTGTAGGAATTGCCCACCAAACAGCTCTTTTCTTCCCAAAACCAGATATGCCAAAAACAAAACCAACCTTTCCATGCTGTACTAACTGCTAGTTAATTTTTTAAGGAGGCAAATTGCAAAATAACTGTAAATCAAAAGAGGAAAACCCAGTGCTCATTGCTTGTAAATATTATGCAAGATTTGCATGATGGACGCATACACCTTGGCCAAGATGGTGAACGCCACTGTTAAGAGCGCTGTGTCTTGAGCCTCAGGTGGCTGGAGAGGGCTGGGCAGCCGAGCAATTCCTGCTCTCATCACTTTTTCCTACTATTTCAACTTAGGCATGGAACCTTTCACCAACCATGCTAAGCATTGCACTAATGCTAATTACTTACATGTGGCTGATAATGTATTTTTAGCAACCATTCTAATGTGGTTTCAACTATATAGTGTTGACAAGACTATAATCTTGAGGGGAAGGGAAGTTGTTCAAATTAGGAGGGCAGATTTTCCTGTCAGATGAAAGATAAAAATGGCACAAAATAAGTAGAAGTCCTCTTCAAATTAGAATTTAAAATAAATGTGTGGGGGTTTTTTTTTTTTAAAAAAAACCCTAGTAATTCAACTCCACATCTGCCAGAGAAATTAAGAGTTGCCTGTTTTCTTCTAAATGCATTTCCGTGTGGGGCCAAGTTATGTTTTCCCCTAATGTATTTTCATATCGATTGGTAGTTTCTGCTCCAACGGAACAGAGCAAGCTACAATAACTGTTGATGAATTATGAACTTTTGAACTCTGGCAACAAAACTAAAACCCAAAAAGCTTGAACATATTTATGTGACTGACTTGTAGGTCTCCATAGTCTTTCTCTCGGGAGAGCACAATGCTATATAGCTCAGTGTTTCCAATTTGTCTGCCTTAAAGGGAGTCCTTTTTACACAGCGCTTCAGGCCACTGAGTTCCTACACTACAGAAAAAGGATTATGGGATATTTTCTAGAGCACTCTGTTTGGCAGGGCAACAACCAGCTGCTTGACAGCTTCTCATAAACTGAGAACACATCCTAGAAGATGCCTACAGAAAATGATTTTTTTCAGTCTATTGTCCCCCCAAAAAAGATTGCCCAGGTAACTATTGACTGGTCAGCTTGACATCAATACCAGGAAAGGCCCTAGAACAAATAGTCAATCTGTGAGCACTTAGAAAGCATGCTATGATTACGAAGACCAAGCATAGGTTTCTCAAAAACAAGCCATGTCAGATGAATCTTTTTTTGAGAGAGTTACAAGCTTGCTGGATCAGGGAGATGCTGTGAACATAGTATATCGACAAAGCCCCCAATCGTATTCTTGCAGAGAAGCCAGTAAAATGTGGGCTGGGTGAGGTAACGGTTAGGTGGATTTGTAGCTGGTTGACTGACTGAACCCCAAGAGTGCTCACTAATGGTTCCTCATCATCCTGGAAAAAAGGGGGGCAAGTGGGGTGTCCCAGGGTTCTGTCCTGGGGCTATTGTAGTTCAGTGTCTTTATAAATGACCTGGATGGAGTTGAGGCAATGCCCATTAAATTTGCAAGTAACACCAAACTGGGAGGGGTAGATAATACCACAAGACAGAATCCGACTTCAAGATGACCTTAACAGATTGGAGTACAAGGCCCAAACTAACATGAATTTCATGTCATCTGGCAGTCATCTTTGAGAATTCCTGGAGAACAGGCGAAGTCCCGGCAGACTGGAGGAGGGCAAATGTTGTCCCTATTTTCAAAAAGGGGGAAAGAGAAGACCCAAATAATTACCGCCCAGTCAGTCTGACATCAATATCAGGGAAGATTCTGGAGCAGATCATTAAGCAAACAGTCTGTGAGCACCTAGAAAGGAATGCTGTGATCACCAATAGTCAGCATGGATTTCTGAAAAATAAGTCATGTCAGACTAACCTGATCTCGTTTTTTTGACAGAATTACAAGCCTGATAGATGAAGGGAACGCAGTGGATGTAGCCTACCTTGATTTCAGCAAGGCATTTGACAAGGTGCCCCATGATATTCTTGTAAAGAAGCTGGTAAAATGCGGTCTTGACTATGCTACCACTCAGTGGATTTGTAACTGGCTGACTGACCGAACCCAAAGGGTGCTCATCAATGGTTCCTCTTCATCCTGGAGAAGAGTGACTAGTGGGGTGCCACAGGGTTCTGTCTTGGGCCCGGTCTTATTCAACATCTTTATCAACGACTTGGATGATGGACTCAAGGGCATCCTGATCAAATTTGCAGATGACACCAAATTGGGAGGGGTGGCTAACACCCCAGGGGACAGGATCACACTTCAAAACGACCTTGACAGATTAGACAACTGGGCAAAAACAAACAAGATGAATTTTAACAGGGAGAAATGTAAAGTATTGCACTTGGGCAAAAAAAAATGAGAGGCACAAATACAAGATGGGTGACACCTGGCTTGAGAGCAGTACATGTGAAAAGGATCTAGGAGTCTTGGTTGACCACAAACTTGACATGAGCCAACAGTGTGACGCGGCAGCTAAAAAGCCAATGCAATTCTGGGCTGCATCAATAGGAGTATAGCATCTAGATCAAGGGAAGTAATAGTGCCACTGTATTCTGCTCTGGTCAGACCTCACCTGGAGTACTGTGTCCAGTTCTGGGCACCACAGTTCAAGGAGGACACTGACAAACTGGAACGTGTCCAGAGGAGGGCAACCAAAATGGTCAAAGGCCTGGAAACGATGCCTTATGAGGAACGGCTAAGGGAGCTGGGCATGTTTAGCCTGGAGAAGAGGAGGTTAAGGGGTGATATGATAGCCATGTTCAAATATATAATAGGATGTCACATAGAGGAGGGAGAAAGGTTGTTTTCTGCTGCTCCAGAGAAGCGGACACGGAGCAATGGATCCAAACTACAAGAAAGAAGATTCCACCTAAACGTTAGGAAGAACTTCCTGACAGTAAGAGCTGTTCGACAGTGGAATTTGCTGCCAAGGAGTGTGGTGGAGTCTCCTTCTTTGGAGGTCTTTAAGCAGAGGCTTGACAACCATATGTCAGGAGTGCTCTGATGGTGTTTCCTGCTTGGCAGGGGGTTGGACTCGATGGCCCTTGTGGTCTCTTCCAACTCTATGATTCTATGATTCATTAGGGACAAAAGTAAGGTTCTGCACTTAAGACAGGAAGAACCAGCTGCACAAATGCGAAACACCTGGCTTACCAGTAGTACATGTGAAGAAGATTGAGGGGTCTCAGTAGACCACCAGCTTAACATGAGTCAACAGCGTGGAGCTGCAGCAAAAAATAAAAACAAATAAATGCTATTCTAGGCTACATCAACAGAAGTATTGGTTCCCAAACAAGGGAAGCAATAGTACCACTCTATTCTGCCTTAGCAACACCTGGAGTACTGTGTCTGGTTCTGGGCACAATTTAGAAACATACTGAAAGGCTGGAATGTGTGAGAGGCAACAATATGATCAAGAGTCTGAAAACTAAGCCTTATGAGGAATGGTTGAGAGAATTGGATAAGTGCCAAAAGTAAACTGATGCAGCTACTTGATCCAGTTTCATCAACTGTAAAAGCCATTGCAGTAAGTGCAATACCAAAACATATCCACAAAGGGATAAGCTGTGTGATGCAAGCTGAAAATTTGTGACCAACTAGGCGCTGTGGGTTAAACCACAGAGCCTAGGACTTGCCGATTAGAAGGTCGGCGGTTCGAATCCCTGCGACGGGGTGAGCTCCCGTTGCTCAGTCCCAGCTCCTGCCAACCTAGCAGTTCGAAAGCACGTCAAAGTGCAAGTAAATAGGTACCGCTCCAGCGGGAAGGTAAACGGCGTTTCCGTGCGCTGCTCTGGTTCGCCAGAAGCGGCTTAGTCATGCTGGCCACATGACCCGGAAGCTGTACGCCGGCTCCCTCGGCCAATAAAGCGAGATGAGTGCAGCAACCCCAGAATCGGTCACGACTGGACCTAATGGTCAGGGGTCCCTTTACCTTTTTATTACTTGCCTAGCACTTGCTTTGATATGGAAAAGTCAACTCTTGGCACCTTGTTTCTGCTCCACTTTGCCTTAGTAAAATGTGGGGATCAAAAAAAGTTTAACCCAAACAGAAAGCAAGTGGCTAGAGATTATCAAAGAAGAATTCTAGGTCCACATTAGGGCAATGCCTTTATTAAGCCAAGGAAAATGTCAAAATAAAATGGTATGCTCATATTGGTCAAGCCATTCATGACTGCATAAGATAAATTTTAAGATGGACTTTGGGAAAAGCTAGAAGAAATTCAAAATGAGGCACTTTTGGGTGCTTGCAATTTTGTTGTTACAGCATGGCCTCCAAAAAAGATGTGCACTGACCACTCCTCTTATCTTTGCAAATACAACAACCAGTTCAGTTAATCAGTTCAGCCTCCATCCCAAGTGAAATGCAAAGGTTCCTTTGGTTATTGAAGAACAGGAATACAGAGAACAAGACACCACACAAAACTTAAGCACATATCCTATGATAAAAAGATGGCAGATGCTTTTCAATCTTTATTCTGTAGTTAGGAACACACCTCTCTGCAATAATATATGATTCTCTCCCATCTATTCAAGAGGCATTTTGCCATCTTTACACTGGGCAATAAGCAGTTCAGCAAATGTGCCATGTATTAAAATGGCGGCATACATCTGAAAACTGTTCATTTAGCCTAAGAAGTGTGAACCTTTACTTACAATGTTTGGCTACAGAACTTCAAAATTCTAATAGTTTCCCAACAAGTGTAAAAAGTGGAAATTAAAGGTTTAAGTAAAATGTATTTAAAGTGACAACAGCTCATATACTTGGTGAAAGACCAGATGGTGTGCAGCCCTTAAGTGTACAAAAAAGCAACATTATAAAGGTATTTCAGTTTACTGTATATATTTACAGGAAATTGCACAGTAGCTCATACTGCGAAATATCAGTACCCCACAGTATTTTAAGTCATTAGTGTTGTCTATTACAGGATCAATAGTCCAAGAGATCTTCAATTGTGTCTTACAAAATTCACCTGTACATGAGGAAGATGTTACAAAAAAGTGAATACTGTGAAAAAAATTTATTAGTCTATACAAGTTCTCTGAAACGAGCAATTCATTGGCTGTTTGTTACAGCAAATTCCAATGAAATAGCACATGCCTTACACATACACACCCAGAAGACAGAGCTTTTAAACATTATTTAAGCTTCAGAACCAACAGCCACAAGTTGAGCAGTCATCTGGTTCAGACCATTCAAATTACATATGAGCAACAGTTTTGAGTTACTGAAATTAAATTACATTGCTAACATTTAGAAACAAGCATTCAAAGCTTGGCAAAGTGATTCACAATGAGACTCCATTAAGCCTGTAACCTAAAGGAAAAAAATTCTCCTGCAGGTCCATAGCACACTACATCATAAATGCCATGGTGCAAGAGTGCCACGCACACACACATTCAGGATTAAAATAAAAAAAATCCAATTAGACAATCATAGTATTCACTGAAGTGAAAAAATTTAAAATCTCCTCTTTTCACCCAACCCCTGCCAAAAGTAATTTGCACCTCTTTCAAGATCACAGATTTTAACTGGGATTAGTTACAAGCTAGAAAAAGTGTTGCTTAAAGCTAAAAAGGGATTGTATATCCATGCTGTTAAACTGGTAAGAAAAGGCCTTTGCCAATAAAATTGTGCAAATTTTACATGTATCGACTTGTACCATTTGAGATTTGTGTGCCTCAAACAGTGCCATAGTTGAGATAAAGACCCGAGTTAAACAGAATGAAGCCAACATGTGTTTGAAATATTTCCCCAAAGTAATTCCATGATAATTATGAAATCTGAGTGTCTTTGTTCCTGCAACAAGTTCTTATGCTACATATAAAAAGAACCTATACGTTTCAAATTAGGCATGCTAACCATAACACTTCTCAACTGGAAAAGCTGCAGAGCACATTTTCCTAGAAAAATGTTCACTGCCGTGATACACAAATATGTGCAAACCGCAAGGTCCCTAAAATAGCAGATGTAAGTTTATGTACAGAGGACACCACTATCCATTTAAATACACCAAAGAATAAGTCTTCTGGAGTTTATAACACAGAACAGTAGCCACCGCAGCCGCCTCGATAGCCCTCTTCATTGTTTGACAACTTTACACCTCTGTTTTGGCTCTCACTTTCCCACAGTCCTGGAGTCTGTATGATTTTCTCAACAAGCTCCTCAAAGGCACACTGTACACCATCACATGTTTTTGCACTTGCCTCTGCGGGGGGGGGGGGGAGAGAAGAGATGAAATGTTAGACATGTGTCACTGTGTGTTGTCCCAACCTCCTCTTCCATGGGTGCACCATTAAGCAGACAGCACCATGGCTCTGTCATTTGCACACCAGTGTAGGTGCAAAATTCTTTAAGACTTAGCTTAGTGAAACTGATAGTTTGGAAAAAGGATTTTGCATCACAGCAAGTAAAGAAGAATATTCTTTGAGTTTCTCATCCCCAAGATTTGTGTTTTGTGAAGATTTCATCAAACGGTACACACGAACACACTGTCAAGCTGTAAGTGAACAAACATGGTCTCAGGCCTTCTCAGGGAGACAGATTGCTAACTGAAGTCATGTCAGAAGAAAGGAGGGTGTCAGTGCCTGGAGGAGGCAACAGCAGCAATACCAGTTCTGCTGAAAAGCACACTGAAACTCCCACAGGAGCTACTGGCAGCATCTGGCACCTTCCTCTTTGAAACTGCATCCTCGGGGAAGAGGGATGCAGAAAGAGAAGCAGATTTATCTTTACCTCTCTTAGCAAAAAAGGGCTGTGCATGAAATGGGAGACTTGAAATCAAGCTAGAAGGTAATGTAAAGGTAAAAAGGTAAAGGGATCCCTGTTAGGTCCAGTCGTGGACGATTCTGGGGTTGCGGTGCTCATCTCGCTTTACTGGCCGAGAGAGCCGGCATACAGCTTCCGGGTCATGTGGCCAGCATGACTAAGCCGCTTCTGGCGAACCAGAGCAGTGCACAGAAACACCGTTTACCTTCCCTTCCCGCTGGAGCGGTACCTATTTATCTACTTGCACTGGCGTGCTTTCGAAATGCTAGGTTGGCAGGAGCAGGGACCGAGCAACGTGAGCTCACCCCATTGCGGGGATTCGTACCGCCGACCTTCTGATCAGCAAGCCCTAGGCTCAGTGGTTTAGACCACAGCGCCACCTGCGTCCCGGCAAAGGTAATGTAACAGTATTTAAATCAAGGCAACTGCGACCATTTCACCACCTTTGCCCATTAATGGGACCCACGAGAGATTCCTCTGCACAATTCATTGAAATAAAAGGACAGCAACAGAGCCTGGTGGATGGTCATCCTGGCATCCAAATAAGAACCAATGTGACATCAGCTGTACAGCTGTCATATTTCATGGCCTACATAAAGTAACAATACAGTGGCATATACTTTGCAAATTTAGTTCCACAACTTTACTTAGCTTACATTAATCCTGCTGTTGTAAAATACAGCTTGATCCTCCAAAACATGCACCACCACAACCCCAGCCACTGTATCTTGTCGTACAACAACTGCAGCTAAACAGAACATTCCACCACACTTTGCATTCCTTTTTAAGGACTTACCTATGAACAACATGGAATGTTTTCGGGCAAACTTGAGACCCTCATTTCTGTCAACTTCTCTGTTTTCCTACAACAAGCAGAACTGTCAGACACTTATAAAAATAAGCTTATGAATCACAGGGGGGAAATGTATTTCAGGGCTACTCACCTTATCGATTTTGTTTCCTACTAACATTTTAACTATATCATTTCTTGTGCAGTATGTTTCTAGTTCAGTTAGCCAGTTGTCTAGTTTAGCAAAAGTGTCTCTTCTTGTGACATCATAAACTGAAATCAAGAATTAATAGCAGTCAGTGATGCATGTATTTCAAGGTTAAGAACAAAACAAACATTTCACCTTCAAATTTAGAAACCCTTTCTCTTGCCAAATTAGTTGCAGCACTGCAAAACTCACTCACCTACCACACCATAGCACCGAGAAAGGGCTCTGGAAATGCCTGATCTGCAGGTGGGACCAATCCTCCACCTATCCCATGCCACCTCAGGGAAGGGGCTTGCCTAATGAGATGGCCAGCCTTGAATTTAGTTATGACAACAAACTTTAGAAACTAGACAGAGCCATGATACCAGTAAATGACTTATTGATCTGTGGCTCTTCCCTTATTATTACCTCTGAGTCCTCTTCTGCAATCAGCCACTGTAATCCTTGCTACTGACTTTCAGCTGTCACCTGAAGACCTTTTTATGCCAACAGGCCTATGCAGTTATTCAAACATTATTATTATTACCACCCAGTCTTCTTAATGTTTATTTTCTATTGTTTTATAGTATTTTATTGTATATGTTGTTGTACAACAACTTGGCATTTTACATCAATTTGTTGTATACAAATATTTTTATTAATAACAATAAACAATAGAACCAGAAGTCCATTTTGCAAGGTTGAGACTCCTCTGCATTGCCAGCCGTTGACTGATCAAAGCTAAGTAGCTGCTGACAACTAGACAACTGTTTAATCTCTTATAAGGGACTCAGCCCAGGTGATGTATTTAGACAAAGAAGTCTGACTGGATGGCTCCGGCCTCCAATCCAGGTAGTTATCTCACTGAGAACCTAACTGCATTATTCCTCATTGAAAAGCCAACACAATTGCAATATTGTTTACAAAAGATTTCGGTAGCTGTAAGTTCGTGAACCTTTGGTAGATCAGGGATGCACAAAAGCTCTCTCTGTGATTTGAGGTATATTGGCAAAAAAATTACTTCCTCCCCCTCTAAATTATGTTGATTGAGGGGAGTGGATTTTGTGTAGATGGGGTACAAGCTCCATTCAGATCAGATCTGGTATTCAACACAACTTCATGGGCTCAGAATGGTTTAATTATAGACATGTCTTCTTTTGAATCTGGCTCCAGTTGGTGGATCCTCAGGGTACTATTAAAACACAATGCTTGAAGTCTGCTCACCCCTGGGGTAGATAATGAAGCGAAGATGGAGGAACCTATTAAAATGTACTACTACAGCAAGTTGGAGATGGTTCCCAAGCAAGCACCTCAAGGTTTACCTGGAGGAATGTTCCTTCATTTTCTATGAAAGAGCTAACTCTGCCCAGAAATGCACTGTAGCTTCCCTTTCTCCCCTCTCTTATTAAGTGAAGCAGATGCCTGTGTCATCAGATTGAGCAGATAGCAGTTAGAGGATGTGTAACCCTGAGCCTGTCAGTCATGTGCCGGCTCAAAATTCCTTCCACACTTGCTTTACATGCGAGCACACACAGGGAGAAATTCCAGAGCCTGTATCTTGTCCCTTGGGAGAAAAGCAGCTGGGGAGGGGAACTGGAGCACAGTGGCTGGAGAAAAACATCACCCTGCACTCAATCTGGAAAAAAAACCACCTGCAGCTTCTTCACCCAGTAAAATAAAGCCTGCAGACAGGGAAGGAAGAGAAACAGCAAGAGCTACCTACAGAACTCCACCCTCCAGCAATTCCCACAGTTCTTATTTCTAATTTGCCACCCATTTGCCTGTGTAATGGTAAAATTACAGTGAGGCCAAGAGTTTCAGTATCATGCCCTATACCAGAAAATGTACAGATAAGCAGTAACCAGCTGCATGCTTACCTAATATAACACCCTGTGCTCCTCTGTAATAGCTGGGTGTTAACGTTCTGAACCGTTCCTGACCTGCAGTGTCCTAAAAAATTCAGACAATTTTGAGAACTGATTTGACATAGTTAAACAGATTTTTCCTGCAAATCCCACAACAGGCAGCATGCATCCTGATTATTTTGTATTTTCACCTAGAAAGAACTTTCTGATTTGCATCTTCAAGATTGCAAACCTTTTCACGCCAAAGCTTAACAGGATACAGTTCCTGGATTCTACAAAAGTGTCATGTGCAGAGTACAGCAGGTCTTTACTATGTGAAAGCCTATGGCAATAGACATACAATTCTATTTGCCCATTACAAACAAATATGCACAAAGTTCCTCCTTCCATGTGCTATAGACCTTATCTAGCCATTTCTTCTTCTATAGCAGGGTTTCCCAAGGTGGTCAATATTGATCCTCCTGAGGGCAGTAGAACTGTGCAGAGGGCAAATAAATACTAAAGGATTGAAAGGAGGTTAAAAAGGGCCTGAGGTAGAAAAGAATTTTATGAGGCACAGTACAAAAATTTTTTTTAATAGGAACTATGAACCTCAGGAACAAAGGGCAAGAGCATGTACACTGTGTACTTCCCTTGCCAATAAGGAACCTCTGTTGCTGGTATTTCCAACATCATGCATGGCTAAAGCTGGGTTCAGCCATGTTTGTCCTCTTCTGAACAAATAAACAGGCTGAATGTCAAACAATGCTGTGACTTAAGGCTCACTTACAGCCCAATATTCAAAAGCCCAATCATCTCATTAGAGAAGATAAAAAGAATAGTATTGTTTCACTACTTTTAACTTCCTTATTTTACTTCTAAGAGTCACAATGATTGAAATGATTAATAAATAACTGATTAATAAATGTTGATTATGTACTGATAATTATTTTATTGCATATACATTTCTTAGAATTTGAGTTGGGTTGAGATGTACCTTGGTCCTGCAGCTGTTAAGTAGGTTTGAACTTCCCATGCATCAGCTGATTGACGGGGAGTTCAAAGCCGCTTGATTTGTGCATGTGAGCTAGTTCCCCCCATGGCAGGGCTGATTGGTCTGTTTTCAACATTGTGATATATCACCAGGAAAACATTGTGATATCCCGATATACCACAATGTCTGAAATAAGGATGTAACTATTAGGAGGCGATGGGGCAATTGTCTTGGCAACTGCAACTACTAAGGCTTCTAAAACTGATACATTTTCACTTACCTTTAGCATATTGTTACAACTCTTATTTTATAGTACAGAGCAACAGGGGTAGCAGGAATCATGAGAGAAGCGATGACCGGCTTCATGGTTTTTCCCACATCACATTTTGTTACATAGCACATGGACACATTGTGATTTGCCATGTCAAATATTATGAAACCGTTACTACAATGTGCACTTCAAACCTATTTTGTACGATGTATCACTAAATCGCCCAGCCCTACCCTGTGGGGAACTTACTTGCTGAAGTACCTGAACCCTGCAGAAGTTTTCAATATGCAGATTCACTTTCACCACAGCAATGTTTTATTGAACTGTAGCCTACTGACCAGTTGCTCAGCACAAAAGGTACACTGTTGCTTGCCAGGACTGGCTTTGATAACACTGGAAAAAGTCTTCAGGTATCAAAATTGTTTTGCTGTAAGCTACATTGGCAATGGCCCATTGTGGAAAATCAACATATGAGTAACATCAATTAATCAGTCAATCCATACATCATTCAATAATGCAAGGTTCACATGCGTTGTTAGGACTTACCCAGATTGCTAGTTTAGCCTTGTTTCCATCAACAGATATTGTTTTCACTTTGAAGTCAACACCTACAAGAGAAGAATACTTAATGCTCTCTCCAGAAAAGGACAGAAGTTAAAACAGAAAACATACCAGATATTGTGGGCTACAACTCTCATCAGCCCCAGCCAGGATGGCTAATATTCAGGGATGATAGGAATCATACTAATTCTGGCTCTTTCTGAATCATTATTCTATCTGCACCTAATATTCTTGCACAATAATTTGGAGATAGACAAATATTCCGTGTGTTTATGACTTGTTATGCTTTCAGATGAACTGCAAGATTGCAACATGTGGCAAGATAGAGGTGAAAAAAGCAGAAAGTTTTAATTAGCTCTAAGTTTTGCTATTAAATACAGCTCAAAAGCAAACCAACACAAAGAACATTAAATGTTGAAGGCAAACTACTGCAGAGAACCAAGCAACCCATTTTACCCAAGGTCATAACTTCTACATAAACATCAATTTCACATAGGAAAACTGAATCTCACGTATAATTTGCCACATGCAACACAGTCAAGAAAGCAAGTGTACATTTTCATGAACCCTACATCATATAAAACTGGTTCCAATACCGAAATAACCTTTGTGTAACAAATGCTGTAATTAGTTGCCCAGAAATTTATCTATGGTGACTTCCATAATAAACAACCCATCTCTGCATTGCTTGGCTGGCAGAAGTCATTCACAAAACAGAGGCAGCAAAAGAATGATAGATATACCTCTGTTCATTTTGCTATTTGTTTTGAGATAGAAATGTAAGAGGGTCCATAATGCCATCACTCAACTCAAGGAAGGGACAATCAGCTTCAGCAGCATCAAATAATGATAATTGTGCTGCTGGTGGTAATAATTTTATTATTTGTACTCCGCCCATCTGACTAGTTTGCCTCAGCCACTCTGGAAGGCTTCCAATAGATAAAAAAATAAAACCACAAATATTAAAAACTTCCCTGTCTTCAGCTGTCTTCTAAAAGTTGTAGAGTTATTTATCTCCTTGACATCTGATGGGAGGATGCTCTACAGGGCAAGTGCCACTACTGAGAGGGCCCTCTGTCTGGTTCCCTGTAACCTCACTTCTCACAATGAGGGAACCGCCAGAAGGCCTTCAGGGCTGGATCTCAGTGTCTGGGCTGAACAATGGGGATGGAGATGCTCTTTCAGGTATACAGGGCCAAGGTCATTTAGGGATTTAAAGGTCAGCACCAACACTTTGAACTGTGCTCTGGGAGTCAATGTAGATCCCTTAGAACCAGTGTTATATGGTTATATTGTCTTGCAGTCAAGGCAAACATCCAGAATGAATGGGGAAGGTTTGTGCCTGCTCTGCAACCAAATTTATGTACTCAAGAGCTCTTTTTCACAAAGAGGTTCACTTCTGGAGTAAAAAAAGTCCCCTGTAGACAAATGTAAGCTCTCTACTTGTTTACATGTGATTTTCATTAAATTTGAATCTGCTATTTCTCATCAAAATCTTATGTGGCAGCTGTGGCAACTCCTGCTGATCATGACAAATTCCACCAGCGTCATATTTCTCCCTTACAGAATCCTCTCCAACAGCCCCGCCTTGTAAATTTCAAATGCTATAGTTCCATGCTTTATCCTTTGATCTATTTGACCTCATCACTGCTGAACTATGCAGGCCTCACAATTCAAAGCTATTAACATCTTCTCCCAAACAAACCAAAATGCTAAATATAGCCATGATCTTTGTACAGTCTTAGCAACGTATGCAGAATACATGAACAGAAAAAATAGAGACATTGTTTCTGTAGAAATGCCCACTTTAAAATGCTAAATGCTTGAAGGACAGTATCAATTTTGACAAGGAGGAGGATTAAGAAGTTCAATTCCTCCTGAAAAGTTTTTAAGACAAGTTGCAGATAGCAAAGCATGTGCCTTTACTATTTGTGGGCTTCCAAACCAAGTAGTGTCTCCACTTGACATACTTCAAATTCCTACCATCACTCACTTGTACAGGGCTTATGTCAAAATCAGACTTAACTATGAAGTGTTTCACAGGTTCAGCCAATTTATAATATTTGATGAATATATTTGATCCTTGCAGTTTTCAAATTACTAGCAGTAATTTTGTTCTGCATATGCAGAATCTGACTTGTCAGAATCTAACCTGTCAACAAATTCAGACATAGCTGCAATGCTGACAAAAAGGTGAGTAAACTACACTGTCAGCTCCCTTATGTTTCCCTTTTACAATGGGGGCATGGTGGGGGTGAGAGGTGTCTAAACTTCCAATTTAAGCAAATTTCTTACAGCAAATCTCGCCTGATTTTTGTGCCAGTGCTGCGGCTTTTCCTTATTAGGGATCAACTTTCTCCATTGCAGTGTCTCCACTTTTAACAGCATTACTATCAGATAGTCTGAATTTGATCTAAATAACAGAGGCATCACAAACTTACCAATTGTTGCTGCAAGTTCTGGATCAAATGTATCATCAGTAAACCGTAACAGAAGGCTGCACAAAGGAGAAGGGCATTTGATGGAGAAAGGAGGAGAAAATGAGCATTGCAATAATTATATTTCAGAGATATAACTATCCAACCAGAGACATTTGTAACAGATCTCAGATTTGCGTTGCCAAGTAACATGATTGTAACAGAACATTCACCCTCTCCCCTACCAGATTTCAATTTTTTTTAGGACAGTCAACTCTCCCTCCCCCAGAAAATAAGGTTATCCTCTTTCAACATCAATTAACTCTTGTGCAAGCAAACTTGCAGCTCTATTGAGAAAGACTGGCCAAGACAGTGCCACAGAGTTCCATTCTAGACTTCTTGAACTCACGCCTAGGGTATGTTAGGGCTGCCATATTCCAAAAAGAAAATCTACACTGCTGATACTGCTCAGCAGTAGAAGAATGTTAAAATGTTGAGATAGCAACATCAGGAGATACCCACTGGACTTGTGAATGTGCTGTGTAATACTGAGTGGTTAGAAGTTAGCTGCAAAGAAAGGCTCTGTTTTAAAACTGAACGACAAATCACTCTTCTAGGGCTAGGGAACCTCTGGCTTTCAAGATGTTGTTGAACTGCAACTCCCATCATCCCTAGTCATGGTGGCTGGAGGACCAAAGGTTCACCATGTGGTCTTGGTTCTGCTGTAAGGATTACTATATTGTATGCGTTTACACACACAGCACAGCACAGCACACAAAATATGCTAAATAAGTGACAAGCAGTGTTAGAAACAATGAAAGCTAGGCGCTAAATGGCACCTTAAACCTATGTTATGGGTGCAACAACGGAATATCACTTTTCAATAACAAGAATACAAAGCTGAAAATGAATGAACTGCAGTTTAAGTATGTTCATTTTTCATATGGTCTAGTCCTTCCCCTGCCCACCCCCCTAAAATTCTTAAGAGGGTCTCTTCTCCAGTATTTAGAAAGTAGCTGGAAGTGGGAAGGCAGAAAAGGGTCCTCCTTTCCTTCCACTTTGCAATTTTAATCTGAAATCTTTGGCGCAGTACTGCACCCAGAGCTCAGAAACTGCTGCAACCAATGAAATTCCCTGTCACAAGATGCACCTAGAACAATAGGAGTTTTGAACACTGGTGACAAGGTTACACCTACAAGTCTGCTAAAGTCTATCCCACCTACTGAAATATGAAACTCTTTTACACTGCTGATGGAAAATGTCCAGGGTCCAACAGTAGCAGAATTCAGGTCTCTGGAAGGTATCACTCTTTCTAAATAACTAGAGTATCAAGTTCTCTCACCAAAAACAGTTCACTCAAAAGCATGTATATGACACTGGACTGTGCGCATAAAAATGCACCACTCTTCCCTCTCCTCCTCCCCTGCCAGTCCTTCATCTGCAGTCCTACTGGAAACCAAAGGTCTGTGAAAGCATCTCAACTGTATAGCTAACACAGTATCAAACTACTTTCCAAAGTGCAAGAATTCCAGAGGCTTAATTGTTAGTTTGGAACCAAAAAACAAGTTGATAGCTCTCCATACAGTGGATTACAGGTAAGCAGCCTGCTGTAATAAAGTGAAGCTTTCTGAGGTCACATACTTGGAGATGACCTAATCCAGAAGAAATCTAAAGTCTTGGCTGCCAGCACTGAGTCCTTGCAACATCTTACAGAGTCATGTACAAGGGGGTGGGCCACTGACTCTGCACTTTATACACACATCCTCCACAAATTTGTTAGCCTCTTCAATTTTGTGAACTCGAAATAGCATACTTGGTTACTAAATATACTGGTATATACTAAATATGCAAGAACACTGGCTTCAAATAACATGAAGCATTATTGATGGTGCTGCCATGGAGTCAAACACCACACCGTTGGGTAGAAACAAATGTCTGCCATTTATACAGACATGATATATGTGAAAAAGTTATGTAAGTGGTTTTAAGGTCATGAATTAGTCTTTCAATATAGGCTGTTTCTTCTGCATACTTTCCTTTGTATCCTAAAGGATGTCCAAATAGTTTAAGAGTTCACATGATGAATAAATTGATGATCAATTTATGACACAGACAAAGCACAATGGGCTGTACTTCACAACCCAGCAATAGTAGGACAGGGATTATGTGGAATCTAGCTGGTAATTGTGAGAGAGACACTGTAGACAAGGCAAAGGTTATTGTGATTGAGAAATGAGAAGGAGCCCAGATATGAACAGAAGCTCAGCAAGACACAGATAGACAAAGGAGGCCCTTTAGAACAAGGGGCTAGAATATTTATTTATGACAGCAAACACCACTAGGGAGGGAATGCAGATCCTTAAACGACTTCATATCTAGGTAATTGGAGTATCTCTCTAAAAGTGGGACTCACGAGGTGCGCCTGCTTGACAGACTTTAGTTTGTTCTCCAAAAACATCTGCTGTCCCAATTTCAGTTGCTGTGCATTATGTGGAAACATGGGAAGGGCCCTATGCTCCATGGTGAAACGCCCTTTCACCTTCCAAGAGGCATGCCTTGCACCAACTCTAAACTGATTCCAGAACCAGGTCAAGTCCTGGTTATATTCCCTCAGGCATTTGTTGCCTAACACTGCAGTTTGTTTATTTTAAGAGTGGCATCTACTTATCATTTTTGTGCCATTTTGAGTTACTGTTTTATAAACGAGCTACATTTCACAGCAAGGCCAAACAGCACCGGGTAGGGCTATATTTTAACGAGAGAGGAAAAAGACCATTTGAATCCTGATTTCTCCAATATAAGCCCAGGTTACCAACTCTTACTTCGGCGTGTGATCCTACCCGTTGGCTCCTCACCTAGCAAGCCAAGCAAGCAAGCAAGCCCTACTCTCCCCAGACACGTTGCAAAGGCAAAGTTCAGAGAAGGGGCGAAGGAACCTTCTCCTGTTTGCCCGAGAACCAGATGCAATGGCTGCGAGGTTAAGGGGCTGAGCCCCGGGATGATGTTTGCAGAAGCAAAAGGCTCCAATAACCAAGCAACAGGCCGGCGTGTGGAGGAAACCGAGCCTCTGTGCATATGCCGAAGGCGTCGCCCTGATCTGCGGAGACAACAAGCCAGAGGGGGAGCTTTGGCCGCAGCCAAGGGAGGGGGCGCCCCCAGGGACGAATGCCCAAGGCAGGGGGCGTGGCGTCCAGTCCAGCTGGAGCCCCGCCACCCGCCCCTCCCTCCTCCTCAGGAGTAAAGGCCTGAATCCGGCCAAGGCTTCCTCAGGAGTAAACCCTATCCAAGTCCATAGGCAACAGGCTCTAATAAGCAAGGGGGGGCAATTGCAGTGGGAGGGGGGTCTTGGCCCCCTGCCCCTCCCCGGCGACAAGGGGGGCAGAAGCGCCCTCAGGCCTGAGGGGGGCTGCTGGGGGGGCGTCTGCCCGGCAAGGCCTACTCGGGGTGGGGCAGGGGAGGAAAGGCGAGGCCGCAGCCGAGGCCTAGCCGGCAGGAGCCTCACCTAGACTTGCCGACGCCGCTCTCTCCGATGATGAGGATCTTCAGCGTGGTCAAAATATCCTCGTCCATCCCGACAACCGGAGGCCTCTGGCCCGACCGACCCAGCTCCTCCGTCCCTGCTACGCAGACTGCCACGTCTTCTGCGCATGCGCCCACCCCACCCCCTCCGACTCGCCCTTATCCGCCTTCCCGAGGCGCCGCCTTTGTGCGCTTGCGCGCGGAAGGGGCCTTCCGCATCCCAGCTCTTGGCTCCGCCCCTCCGCAGGTGGTGGTGCGCCGCGCGAGCCGGTGGGCTCCTGGGGCGCAGGCGCGACGCCCGGGCTGTTTCCTCGCCGGTGTGATGAGCTTAGGAATGAGCCTTCAAAGCGCAGCGGCAGGTGGAAGGAGGCGTCCCTAGGAGAGCTCGCCGGGAGCACGGGAAGGAAGCCGCATGGCGCCGAGCCTGACTTGGCCCAGGCTCCCCAGAGTTTCAGAGAACAAGAGCCTTTCTTCCCTGGCAGCACCTGGAGGCGACACGGCTTGGGTCCGCTTAAACGCATTTCAGAGGCTGCGCTGCGTGTTGTCATGATGAGTCATGGAGCCACCGAGGCAGTTGTTGTTGTTTAGTCGTTTAGTCGTGTCCGACTCTTCCTGACAGTAAGAGCTGTTCGACAGTGGAATTTGCTGCCAAGGGGTGTGGCGGAGTCTCCTTCTTTGGAGATCTTTAAGCAGAGGCTTGACAACCATATGTCAGGAGTGCTCTGATGGTGTTTTCTGCTTGGCAGGGGGTTGGACTCGATGGCCCTTGTGGTCTCTTCCAACTCTATGATTCTATGATTCTTCGTGACCCCTAGAGCACGCCAGGCACTCCTGTCTTCCACTGTATCCCGCAGTTAGGTCAAACTCATGTTGGTAGCTTCGAGAACACTATCCAACCATCTCATCCTCTGTCATCCTCTTCTCCTTGTGCCCTCCATCTTTCCCAACATCAGGAGTCTTCTCTTCTCATGAGATGGCCAAGTATTGGAGCCTCGGCTTCAGGATCTGTCCTTCCAGTGAGCACTCAGGGCTGATTTCCTGAAGAATGGATAGCTTTGATCTTCTTGCAGTCCATGGGACTCTCAAGAGTCTCCTCCAGCACCATAATTCAAAAGCATCAATTCTTCGGCGATCAGCCTTCTTTATGGTCCAGCTCTCACTTCCATACATCAGTACTGGGAAAACCATAGCTTTAACTATACAGTAACAGCATACAAGTACAGTACAGTATATGGCTGACATCAGTTATTCAAAAATGCTTTTTTAAAACACATTTCTTAGGTTGGACTTGCCCGTCTTCTGGGGTTCACTTCCCCTTTTTTGAATGCCTAGAGCAGGTGGGAACACATTTTGCAATCATTTGGCATCCAAATTGTCCTGGTGGCTTTAAAGGCAGGGCGGGAGATTGTGTGGCTCTTAGGATGTTGTTGGACTGGCAACTCCCATCAGCCTTGGCCAATTGTCGGCAATTATGGGAATTACAGTACAGCGGCATCTTAAGCATCAGATTAATCATTCCAGCATTAAGGAAAATAACTACAGTAATTGAAGCTTTTGTGTTGCGATGAGTGTTGGGGAGTCCAAAACAGGGCAGTCAGAGCAGTCTGGTGTCAAGGGTGCAGTGCGACTGGTTGCTAGTTGAAGGGGAACAAAGGGAACTGGCATGCAGATGCAGCCTGTGTATATTTCCTTGGGAAGCAATCAAAGAGGCCATAGACAAGTAGCGTGGTCCGTGGTCCGAGACAAGGAAAAGGTCAGATTCTAAGGCAGGGATCAGTAAACTTTTTCAGCAGGGGGCCGGTCCACTGTCCCTCAGACCTTGTAGGGGGGGCGGACTATATTTTGAAGGGGAAAAAAGAACGAATTCCTATGCCCCACAAATAACCCAGAGATGCATTTTAAATAAAAGGACACATTCTACTCATGTAAAAATATGCTGATTCCTGGACCGTCCACAGGCCGGATTTAGAAGGTGATTGGGCTGGATCCGGCCCCCCGGGGCCTTAGTTTGCCTACCCATATTCTAAGGGCAGCAGCTGCAAGTCCAAGGCAAGCAGGCATGCAATGAAAGGACAGCAATTGATCTGTCCAATAAGTTGCTCAAAGTGGGGGACCAAAGACTTATACAAGCATAACTGGGGCCCTCTTGGCTTCCCAGATCACCTGGCCTGTGTATTAACAAGACTTTTCTCTCTGGTTGTCTGTGTTAATTAAGCAACCTTGCTGACAAGAAGCCATCATTCTAACAAGAATGCCACCATTTTAGTGTTGGACCCTGTAGCCGTGATCTCGCAATGCAGGTTTTGACCTTAAATTATTAAAGTAGAATATATGTCTTACAGGAGCGGTTGCATTCAAACTTTGTTTCTGGGGTTTTTTTCAAGTGATAATCCATGATAATCAAAATATAATACTCCTGTGAATATGGATGGAAGAAACTATTGTTTGGGGGGAAATTGTGGAGCTGATTCTGTAGCAAAATGTACCCAAAATTAAAAAGACCGTGCATTATGTAATGCCATTTCCTGTTGGCATTATTTGTGTGGAATGTCAGTTCTTCATAATGGGCAGTATCTGGCCAAATGAATGACATCATCTTCCTGTTGATGTAGTAAAGGAAGAAAATCATGTTTAACATGTTTTGTAGCAACGTCTAAGACTATGTAAGCTAGAAACCAGAATTCTTCAATGTAACAATAATATTTAAATAAATTTTAGTATCTCCTTTATACTTGTTATTGAGTTTATTTGTTGTAAGCCACCCTGAACAATTTTGGAGACATAATATACATTTATTAGATAAATGGATGAACAGTTGTAACATTGTGTTTGCATTTTAAGAGGCCAGTGTCCAGGAGAGTTCTGTGGCAACCCTAGCTCAGATAAAAAATGTGTTTCCTTACACAGAAAAATGTATTTTCACCTTCCCTAGGGTTACCCCACTAGGTTCACCATGACACTAGGTTTTTAAAAAAGGAGAAACACCACCAGTTTAGCAAATACATTATATTCTGCCTCCAAAATTGTTCAAATGAGATTTAATCATGTAGCGAACTGAGGGTATTAATGTAGTGAAATCATGTGTTGAAATACCCCAACTTCCCTACATGTTTAATGCCCACTCTGCCTCTGAAAACCATGTCCATGCAAAAGGGCTTGCCCCATATATACCAGGCATATATATGGCTCTGTCATATTTGTGCTAGAGTCTCTGGGTCACTTAACAGCCTTTCATCTCTGCACTCTCTCACTGCAACATGTGTTGAAAATCTGAGGTTCAGTTGTTCGTTTGTTGACAGATCTAATGAACGACATCTGGTACGTATGCCAAAAGTTGAACAAGGGTGAGGAAGGGGAGAAGGATAATTCATTTCATGTGACTGTAGCTTTTGCCCGCAGAATGAATTGTCTTAGGGAAATATACCCATCTTACTTGGAAACCTTCTATGGATCAGTAGGAAAAACACAGTGACCTCCTTTGTGATCAGCTACATGTGTTGACTCATAACACTTCCTCAGGCCTGTCTTCTCCCACGATGAAGTTCAGCCTTGTTCCCCTCGAGAAAGGTTAATTAGCAATGGCCGCATGGCATAAGCACAGCGAGAATAATTACATTAAACAATGATGGCACATATCTTGCTTAAACTTGCACCGATAGCAAACCATGCATGACTCAAGGTAAATGCTGTAGTGATAAATGTCATAACAATTTTAATGCCATAATAGTAAATTGGATCATAATAGCAACTAGGAGCTGTAGATGAGTATGTTCTCACATGTGAAGTAGCATCAATGGCATCAAGTGCAAATGAAGGCTAATTTATTCATTTGTTAAAAATTCTTGACCACCTTTCTCAAATTGAAGCATGTATTAAGATGTAAACACAATAACTGAAATATAAATAGTACAGTAAACTGCACCATGTGCTGGAAGTCTTAAGATAGCCAAATTTATTAGCTTAATTGATTGTCAGACTCATTTCACTGTACATCTACAAACTGGAGGTAAAATTCAGACATGGATGCACTTACAAAGTATACATTCCAAAATTATGCTAAAACGTAGGGCTATTAATCCAGAGAACTCTGTGATAATGTAATGTATAGTAGCCCCTGCTCCATACCACATAACAAATCATTTAAAAACAAAACAGAGACTATCAAAAGAGACAATATTAGCAGTCACATCAGTATTCTGCCTATCCCACTAATTCTTGAACAGCTGAATCCCCCTTCAGATGCTATCTTGTCTACCATTGACCCATGCCACCCCATGCATTTCCCTGCTGATGCCTCATAAAGGAGCTGAATGACATGACGTCATACAATATTTCTCCACTCTTAATTCAGTGGTTGCCAGCATGGCACCTGTGGATCAGATGGTGCTCTTGAGGTCTCCCTCTAGTTCTCATAAGACCTTGGAGTCCTTTCCCCATGTCTTTGTCATGACATGAAATGGTGAGAGTGGTTATCTTCTCTTCTGGAAAGAACGAAGAGTGGAAGAAGGAAGAGTGACCCTCTTTCCCATTTATTCTTTCATCTCTGCATTTCAGTGCTCAGATTCGTTCTACTGGATCCAACTTTTATCCGGATGGTTTTGAAAAGCAAAGAACGTATGGGTGTCTTCCCTGTCTTTGATGGGGCGGCCGATCTGAGAAGATGGAAATGAAGTGGCCTGAGGGTAGCACTTGCTCAAAAATCCAAATGTATTGACAGGCCTAAAAAAGTTTGGCAACACCTGCCTGATTCTTGCCTCCCATTTGCAAGGAGTGAGGAAATGCCGAATAGAATGGTGGCTCATGCATTTCTTGCTAGACACTACAGGAAAGAAATATGTGGCAGACAAGAATCAGCAGCAGCTACACAATGCCTGTAATGTTTAGTTAGGACATAAGTTTCTTAAGTTCTCAGCTGTCTCAGGTCCTGCTCCAAGAAAAAAAGGGGGGGTCTGGCACCAAATGGGATGAGGACTGGTTAAACTACTTCAGCAAAGAGCCTATCCCCATCTTCCCATAATGATATTAAGCCTGAACTACTTGCAAAGGAAAAAATGTCTTCTGGGACAGGCACTTGAACAGGGTTATTAAGTAGTCCTTGAAAGCAAGAGCATTACAGAATTGTAGATTCCTGCGCTGCTTGGTGATTAGTGCAGACGTCCCACTGGATTTCCTGCATCCACAGCCAATTCTGCTTCCCTTTGGTTCTTTGATTTCAGCATTTCAATCTATCTTACTTGTCTAATGTTCATAGCATCTGGTGACTAGAACAGAGTTACCGGGGCCGGGGTGTGAGATTTCGCACTGAATATTCTTCCTTGTGTTCTGCAAGAGTTTTTACAAAGCAACTCACATTTGTGGGAAGAGTAACTCATGATTTGGTTCATATTGGGGAGAGTCAGGAGGTAGAGCTTGTGGATTTCATTAAGGGACTCCTGCATTTCCCCCCCAGCCCCACAACACTTGGAGCACTGAATGCGATGTTTAGTTATATTTCAAGATGGGAGTGGTTTCTGCAAATGCTAAACTTCTGCCATTCAAGCCACCCACCTACATTGTCTTACAAAACAGTGAACTGCACAATCTCAGATCTTAGCAGATCAGTTTCACTGAATTTCACTGGATTTCTAGAGCTATCTAATGTCTGTAGCATTAGCAGTTGTTTTCCAGAGACATTTTACGTTTAAATCATCCCTTCATTATAATCTGCACTTCATTTGCCGATGGGAGTGATTGTGGGTTCCACAGTGCTGCATTATGAATCATTTCCTGCCTCCTCTAACCTTTTAACAATCTTCTCCCCTTTCTCATCCAAATGTTCTCCTTATATATATATTTCTAGGTAATATAATACAGCTTGACTAATATTCACAAATGTGTAAATACATATTCCTAGTCTATCATAATAAGTGTGTTCCCAGAATTTTCCATTGGCAATCTACGATTTCAGGTTTATGTGTTTTTGATTAGTTTCAGCTAATTTTCCTTAATTTTTTTGCTGGCACACTGCTACTTTAATGGCATTTTCGAATTTTTATTAATGCTTGCCACAAGTCGTACTATTTCCAGATGTCCAGATGCCATTGGAGTAAAAGAAACAAAAAGGCCAGCAATGCTACGTTTAGAGCAGCAAAAGAACACATGTCTGATGCTGTGATGACCAAAACTTCCATTTTCTTTACAATGACCCATTGTTCTTCCTTCTGCTTCTTACGTATGTCCATGTTTCAGGTTTGCTGCAATACTGCAAAGTATGCAGAGCAGCTAAATACTTCTGTAGGAAAAAGAGGCAGTGCACTTAAATATATATTGTTAAACACCTACAGGTGGCATGGGTGTTAAGTCTCATTGATTTCAATGAAATTAGCCTCAATGTCACACACTATGTTTTGGAATGATAACAAACTGATCTGACTCGTTAGCAAAACCCATGATGCACATTTTCTCCAAATGGACTTTTGAATTTTGCAAGTGTGAATATGAGGAAGAGCCACATGTTACCAATTTGCACATTTGCCTCACTTCAGAGGCTTAATGACTCCCCAATGCTGCAAAAATGCGATCCAGCCCTTAGGTTGATTTCATAAGCTTATAAAACATTTGAATGCGATTTAAAAATAAATTAATGAATACAACTTTAAACAGCATGCAGCACGGAATGGAGTTATTATCACCACCCCATATTCTATTCCTGAAAACATGAAGGATGAAATTTAGAACTTTTAGGCCCCACAACAAGTAGACATGCAGTTCCCCCCCTTAACTTTCTGTCTTGTAGCCAATCCAAGTATCTGATCCTCCGAAAGATGTGGGCATGTAATAAAATCTTTGTACACTGCAACATTCATGTTTAAACATTAATGTGATGCAGGCAAATTGCACACCATGTTAAGATTGTGGCTGAAGTAAATGCCATCTTTTAACAAACTAAATAAAACAGATAAACTACACACAGTCGTTTTGTTTGTTGACATCAAACACTGAAATCATCTTCTAACCCAAATGACATTACTTTAATTCAATACAGAAGAAATGAGCATAAGGAGCTTTGGTTTTAATCCTGTTAAATGCTAACTTTACCGTTTTTCTTGCCAGCGAACACCCTGTCTGATTGATGACCCTGATAACTTTCCTAGGGACCAGGTTTTTGAGAATAATAGGTACAATTCTATCACATGCTCCTGCTGAAGTTTCAACTAGGGGTAGGTGCAAAATTGAGACAACAGTAAGTTGGCAGGAAATGAGTGGTTTTCAGAGGAAAAGTTTGGGAGCAAAGAAGAGGGGCAGGCCAATGAACAGATTACATCTGGAGCAGGCAACAAGCAACATCAATCATGGGTGAATTAAAGAGGGTTGTTTGGAAATTTTCACCAAAGCCACCATAACTCGGGAGAGGTCAGTGTGTGAGAAAACTGTTAGCCATTTGGAGAAAGTAGGTCAAAATGAATCTATCTAGCCAACGTAAACTATTGTAATGTAGCTAGGACTGTCTTAGTTCAATCTAAAGGCCCAAACGTTAGTCTCCAGCTGTTACATCTGGATCCCAAAACTAGTATTTCAATTTTAACAGAGACCTTGTGCTGCAGATATATGGTTTTCAATAAACAGCTCCTAAAGCTATTGGTCTAGGCTTCAGGCTTCTGAATGAAAAACTCACTTCAGTGCTGAAGTATACTCCGGGTTATGTATGGATTTTACTTCTAACTCAAACCCTGGGACTTGCCCTTTGTAAACAAGGTACTCTCTGCTTAAATAATTTTCCCGTTTACTTTTTATTTTTTTGCAAGTCTACTGGCCTTCTGTTTAGTGCATTGCCTCTCAGCACAGCAAGAGGTCTGTTTGTGTGGGTGAAATAAGAGATTTGTCCGGACAGCCAGAGTTCACTTTCTGCTGAAGATGGGAACATTATAGGTTCATAAATTGTTTCCTACATATTGAATTGGTCTAGCCATAGACTGCCTTTCTAGATGGTTTTTAAATTTTTGTCAATAATTCTTTCCCTTTTGCTTCCACCCCAGACCCATTGTGAGACCAGACCACAGCCTGCCTCCATCAAGCTGAGGGAGGGACGGGACAATTTATTTGTCATGCTCATAAACAGGAGTCTGCAATTCAGATGGAGGACATTGCTGACTAGTCATCTAGAGCCATTTCCGGACAGACCTTGTGTCTGTGAGAAAGCAACGTGGCTTTATTTGTTTAAAATATGTTAAACGTGGTATCTGGGCTGAATGCAATAATGAAATTTAAAACTACAGCAATACAATAATAAATACGAAGAGATTAAAAACACAGTCCAACAATCACAGCACAAGCATTCAAAACATGTAATAAAGGTCTCTTCCAGGTGACCTTTATTATTTATTGACCATTCTGCACAAAGCCTATACGGAGGTTAGGTTGTATTTGGTCTTTGTTGAACATTTATTCTGAATTGTTTGTGGGGAGGTTATATGGCAATGAATGTTTGTCATGATTTGCTTGTAGAGTGTTAATAGGTCTTCCAATTAGTCATATGGGACCGCTTCTCCTGGTATGTCACATGGAGGACCTTATGGTCTTCAAACAAAAATATCTTGGACGTCCCGGGCCACAGGGAGGTTAGGCTGGCCTCGACTAGAGCCAGGGCTTTTTTGGCTGTGGCCTCGATCTGGTGGAACGCTCTGTCACAGGAGACTAGGGCCCTGCGGGATTTGACATATTTCCGCAGGAGCTGTTCCACCAGGCCTTTGGTAATCCTCACAGACCTCTAGCCCAATGGTTGCCATTAATTTGATTCTGAATTGATTTTAGAATGAATTGATATTAGAATGTATTTCTATTAATTGATTGTGATTTTATGTAAACTGTGTTACTTTTACTGTTGTTCGCCGCTCTGAGCCCGGCTTCAGCTGGGGAGAGCGGAATATAAATAAATTTTTATTTTTATTTTTATTCATTCTACGCTATTCGGTGCTTCAGGCACCAAGCCCATTCGCAGACCAACTCTGCATTACAAAAATGTCTGCAAACATGACATGAAGAGAAGAAACGCCATGGTGCATCTGCAGCAGCACAGCTGGACACCTTCATCTGCCCCACCTGCACCAAAGCGTGTCTCTCCTGTACCGGTCTCTACAGCCACAACAGGTGCTGCAATCTTCCAACAGTTTGACTTCCCTCCCAAAAGCACACTCCTCCATTGTTTCCCGACACAGATGGATGCCAACCATTTCCTAACCAGAAAAAAATGTGGGGTTTTTTGTTTGTTTTTTCAAAAGTGAATTTCTAGCAGTAGGGTGACAGAATACTTTAATCCACTTTAATTGTGCAACCCTAAATTTCCCACTATGTCCTTGAATCCCTCCTGCAAAAAGGAAAAGAAAGGCAGCTTGGCGGCTCCCTAAATCCCAGTAAAAGTCTACTGTAAAGGGGAAGCTTTCAAATGGCATTGAAGAACAAAATTTGTGCGGGTCAAATATCCAAAGGAAGGCAAAACTGGGGTGCCATTGTAAAATAGGTCTTATACCCAGAGTGTAGATCTTAATGCAAAGGCAGGTATGGGAGACAGTTTCTTCTTTTTTGGATAATTTTTATTAAATTTTCCTGTTTTATAATTTAGAATACTCATTTTACATCCTTAAGATACCAGTGACTTCCCTTCTTCTCTTTCCATGGTTCATTTTACGTATCATAAATCCCTGCATATTTTACAAAAAACTATGCTATTCAGTATTCCATTATTGCATCCATTAAAACTTATTTACACTGTTGATTTTATCTTAATGCTGCCAGCATTTTCAGCTGTACACAATTATTCCCCATATAGCCAATAAACGTTTTCCAGTCTTCTTTAAACGCATGTTCTTCTTGTTCTCTTATTCTATATGGTCAGTCTGCAAATTGTGCATATTCTGTCAACTTAAGCTGCCATTCTTCTTTAGCTGGGACCTCACTCCATTTTTGGGCTAACAAGGCACGGGCCACAGTAGTAGCATACATAAATAACCTTTTTTTTTTACACATGGGAATTTCAGTCTGAATTATCCCCAACAGAAAGGACTCTGGTTTTTTTTTTGGGGGGGGGGAGTACTTTTAAACATTCTTTTCCAATTCATTATGGATTGTTTCCCAGTACTCTTTTACCCTTTTACAAGTCCACCACATATGAAAGAACGTTCCCCCGACCTCTTTGTGGGAGACACAGTTTCAGATATCTCCATCCCAAGTTGTTCAGGGCTTTATAAATCACTACGAATGTCCTGAGGTCCAGGTCAAGGAGGATCCAATGACCAGCCAGGGTGAGTGGAGTCAGTCCAGGGCCTGAGGACACTAAACTGCAAAAGCTGAAACATGCAGGTCAGTGGTTCACCACACAGTGGTGCTCACAAACCCCAAGACTCTTCAGTTCAAACTCCAGCAGCTCTTGACCATTGCAGAATATGTGGAGTAGAATCTTCATCAGTGATAAATGGTGGTGGGCCTTGGTGATGTCACAAACACGCCCTTTACTACTGTATTTTCATTGGTGGAACGTTGCAGAGTATGTGACAGGTGACATGGGCATAGCCAAGGTGGAGCAGGGGGGCAGCTGACCTTCCTAGGTCAAGTAAACCAAAAGAAATACAGTGGGACCTCAGTTTACGAACTTAATCCGTTCCAGAAGTCCATTCTTAAACCGAAAGCATTCTTAAACCGAGGCGTGCTTTCCCTAATGAGGCCTCCTGCCGCCGGTGCCCTTCCACTGTTCGGATTCCGTTCTTAGACCGAGGTAAAGTTCTCAAACCAAGACACTATTTCCGGTTTTGCGGCGTTTGGAAACCAAATCATTCTTAAACCGGACTGCTCTTAAACCGAGGTACCACTGTACTTAACTAACTGACCAATCACATCAGTTCTGGCCCCCCTAACAAAGTCCTGCCCCTCCTCAACAAAGATCCTGGCTCTGCCCATGATAGGTGACCAGCTGAAGAAGCCTGGGGGGGGGGGAGAGAGAGAGAGAGAGAGAGAGAGAGAGAGAATTGCTACAGGCCATTTGTACTCAAGGAAAGGGCAGCCATGTGGAAGATGGACCCAATCCAAGCCACTCATTCACTTTTTTGAAGGGAACACCAACTAGAAATAGAAGTTTCTTTACCAAGTATATCAAAAGGAAGTGGGGGGGGCAGTCTATCAAAGCACCCAGGATATTAACGTCTGTGGGTTAACAGAATGTAGCTCTTGTGAAAGCCAAATGCCAAAATCATGGAGTTATATTTTTGTCTGACCTTGATTTTAGCGTTTTCTTACTCAGCACGGTTCACTTCATATTTGTTTTGTTTTAAAGTCTGGAATATTTTGCATTTCACCTTAATAGTTCCACTCTGTTTGAAATGTTTATATAGCGTGATTTACTACAATATGGATGTGTAATTATGTGATGATTAGACAAAACATTTCTGACAAGAAAGGAAAACAGTAGTTAATAATGTTTTCCATCTGTCTGGTAGAACTTCACTGAAAAGGCAGCCCCTTTGCATGGACCAAAGACCAAGGTTACACCTAGATGAGAGCACGGTAGAAGCAGTAATGCCTCCATAAATTCATTCTGATCGCTGCTCACACATTTTTGGAAAGCATTACCATCTGTTTTGCAGATAAATATTACAATAATTAATGTCAGCACATGTTTACATTACAGAATCTTAGAAGATTTCCTCCCTTTCCTCTGCAGAAATAAAGATGCCTTTTAAATGACTGGAATGAAACGCACCATCGTTATTAGGTAAAACGAGTGTGTGTGTCAATAATGGCTCCTTTTATTACACAACTCTGAGACATTTTAAGTTTCTGTTCTCCATTTAGGGCAGAATTCTTGGCTGTCATTATTGTACCTAGACCAAAAAAAGAGCTGAAAACCTGCAGATCTAGCAACAAAGACTGTGCCATCTGTGACCCTGTGACCCCACATTGGCAAATATTTTGCGCAAACCCCCCCCCCCAAAAAAAAACCTCTGTAAGGAAGGGAGCATGTATTCATTCAAAACTCAAGGGGACTTGATAGGTGCTGTTGCTTCTAGAACAGCCACTTTCGCAGAATCATGGGGTTCAGTCAGGAAGCCTTGTGGACTGCTCTCTTCCCCTCCGCTCTGCCAGGTCTGCTGATCAGAGGGGGGAAAGTACATAATGTTGGATGCCACCCTGGCAGGCCTGTGGGAATTAATGGACAGACTTTGGGAATGTTTTGTACGGAGGTGCGGAAATGGCGTCTGTCTGTTTTGATATGGCTCTTGGAGGAGTGCAAAATCCACACAGGATATAATAACGTTAGTTTTCAACCCGCTTGTGGAGACTACCAGAGGTCACAAAGAAAGGAATAAATGACAACAATAAGAAGATGAGGAAAATAACAAAGAGAAGATGGAACAGAACTGTGAATATTATTTGGGCAGAACTGTGAACATCAAAGCAGCAGCAAGAGAGATGTTTGGATCCCTTTCTGAGCTTGAAGCATGGGTACCCCCAACAAAAATTTAAAAATTTGGCTGTGTAATTTGGAATTAATGTGATGTGATTTGATTGGCTTGTTAATAAAAATTATATTGAAAAAAAAAGGTTGGATGCCATCCGTCTCCAAGCAGTGAGAGATTCCAGGACTTCTAGGCGCTTACTGAGGCTTTGCGTTTCTTCTGTCTCCTGAGGCAGAGCAGTGACTGTAAATATGGTTTATTTAGACATTGCTACAACCTGAGCCTACCATAGAGGGGTTCGCAGCATTGACACCCCCAAACAGATATTGCTTCTCCCGTAGTTTGGATTCCAGCAGAAAGCAGGCATGGTTCTCTCTCTAGCTAGCTGCTTTACTTCTAGGTCATTTCACCACAAACCATCAACTCTAAACTCAGACTTCATCTTCTTGTCGTCACACAAAGAGCCGCTTTCCTTTCGTTTTCCTTAATGGCCCATCACCCAGGCAATCGCCTCAACAGGAAGCTAGGGTCGCTCATATTTTAACAATTGCTGGATCCAGGGGTTAGGAAGGTCTCTGCATACAGCAGCAACCCCCCCAAAAAAGCAACTCTAAACAATATACTTTCAGCTGGGGCACTGGGAGAAAAGCCTGATGCCAGAGAGCCAATCTGGTGCCGCTGGCTGATATATAGATTACTAGATACAGTGGTACCTCGGGTTACATACGCTTCAGGTTACATACGCTTCAGGTTACAGACTCCACTAACCCAGAAATAGTGCTTCAGGTTAAGAACTTTGCTTCAGGATGAGAACAGAAATCGTGCTCCGGTGGCGTGGCAGCAGCAGGAGGCCCCATTAGCTAAAGTGGTGCTTCAGGTTAAGAACAGTTTCAGGTTAAGCACGGACCTCCAGAATGAATTAACCCGAGGTACCGCTGTACTGCTTTTGCTCTCTCTGATTGACTTGTCACTGAAGAGAGCATTCCCTGCACCGGCCAACTGATGCAAGCCATATTCACCAGAGCATCTCAAACACATGTACCTTATCATTGCAGTACACACTCTTCCAGTTTCTCCATTATTGAGTCTCCAGACCTATGAGATGCTGTGGAAGGGACCATTTTAAGAAGGAAAACCGCCATTTAGGAGAGTTTTTGGGGATGCAGTCACACACAGAGATTTTCTTAGACTGCACATGGTGCCCAGTATCTTCAGCCATCTCGGTGGTTCTCTACACTGAATAATTATTGTTATGAACATTGAAATTGGCCAAAAGCATTAGTATGCATGCCAAAAGCGTAGGCTTCCTTGCTTAAAATAACAGCGGCTGCTTGTCCTGTGTTAATAGTTTTGCTACGGTATAAGCACAATATTGGGGGAAGCTTACGGGGACGAATGCTTCCAGCTGAAAATAATTTTACTCATTCGGTTTCAGTTACTTGTATCTTCCTTTTAAAATGCTTTAATCTTCTTTTATGCTCTTATGTCTTTTTATACTGCTATTTGCAAAATGCTTCACATAGGCAGTGTGTGTGTGTGTGTGTGTGTGTGTGTGTGTGTGTGTGTTACTATCATAATTATGACCTGTTTGGTTACTATTAAATGGTTACAGTGGTACCTCAGGTTAAGTACTTAATTCGATCTGGAGGTCCGTTCTTAACCTGAAACTGTTCTTTTTTTTTTTTCTTCAAGAAGAAGAGTTTGGATTTGATATCCAGCCTTTCACTCCCTTTAAGGAGTCTCAAAGCGGCTAACATCCTCCTTTCCCTTCCTCCCCCACAACAAACACTCTGTGAGGTGAGTGGGGCTGAGAGACTTCAAAGAAGTGTGACTGGCCCAAGGTCACCCAGCAGCTGCATGTGGAGGAGCGGAGACGCGAACCCGGTTCCCCAGATTACGAGACTACCGCTCTCAACCACTACACCACACTGGCTCTCAACCTGAAACTGTTCTTAACCTGAAGCACCACTTTAGCTAATGGGGCCTCCTGCAGCCGCTGCGCCACCGGAGCACAATTTCTGTTCTCATCCTGAAGCAAAGTTCTTAACCCGAGATACTATTTCTGGGTTAGCAGAGTCTGTAACCTGAAGCGTGTGTAACCTGAAGCATATGTAACCCGAGGTACCACTGTATTTGATAATATTGCTCTAGGTATTACTGGGGTGGGAATCAGGTTCTTTCCTAATGTTTTAACCTTGAATGCATCTAGCAGATGACCTTTGGGCCTTACTGAAACTGCACATACAGATGAAAGGTTAAGTAATGCCCTTAGTAGGAACATAAGAATTTAAGACGATCCTGCTTTTTCCAGGGCTGGATTAACCATGAAGCAAAATAAGCACATGCTGAGGGCATCAAAGGAAGGGGGACACCACAGAAATTTTCCATGGCCAAATTTTTAACATTAATGGTCACAAATTGCTCAGCCAAGGTGGAAAACTGGGGTGCTGTATTCCGGGGCCGAACACCTGTGCTAGTCATGTGACCCATGCAAGATCACTGCTCCCCCAAAAGCACTTTTTTTTGGGGTGAGATCACGACACCCCAAATGACCATTGTACTCTTGCATGAAAAAAATGGAATGTCCTGGTTTTCTGGGGACAGTTGAGAGGTTTGAGAGAAGGTTCCGTGCATGTGTGTAAAAACTAGCCTATGGTGCAAAGACACAATTGACATTTCTTGCTCTATCCACTTTTGCTCCTGGCCCCACCCACTATGTCATGTGGCCCCCTGAAGGTTGCTCAGAAGGGAATGTGGCCCTCAAAATGAAAAGGCTTCCATGCCCCTCCTGGAAGACATCCAGATAAGTACATTTCCGAGCACAATTCAAAGAGTTGTGCTGACCTTTCAAGCCCTAAACAGCCTCGGTCCTGTATACCTGAAGGAGCGTCTCCACCCCCATCATCCAACCTGGACACTGAGGTCCAGCGCCGAGGGCCTTCTGGTGGTTCCCTCGCTGTGAGAAATGAGGTTACAGGGAACCAGGCAGAGGGCCTTCTCAGTGGTGGCACCTGCCCTGTGGAACACCCTCCCAGCAGATGTCAAGGCAATAAATAACGATTTTACTTTTAAAAGACAACTGAAAGTGGCCCTGTTTAGGGAAGTTTTTAATGTCTGACACTGTATTATTTTTAATATTTGGTTGGAAGCCGCCCAGAGTGGCTGGGGAAACCCAGCCAGATGGGCGGTGTATAAATATATAATTATTATCATTATTATTAGACTTTGTACAGACACCCTTAGACCAGAAGGGAGTCAGCCAGAGATTGGTTCCTGCCACTGAGGTACCTGATGCACCTTTTTAAGACTACCTGCACTTACATGCCCATATCCCTGAATTCGTCTTCTCACTCCAGTTCATCTTTCTCAGAATACAGTACAGTAGAAGGTTAATAGTGGGTAAACAGAGGACATGGGGAAATGTTGCAGCTCCACTTGAGGACCATAATCTAAGTGAGTTACATAGGCTGGTTTGATCACACAAAGAACCTCCTCGCCAGAGCTACACATTCCTGATGGTGATCAGTGCTGCAGTAGAAATTCTCAGTAACAGTCAGCATACCATTCCCGAATTTTGGTACTGGACAATATGGAAGCCATATAAAGTCATAATACAGTGGTACTTTGGTTCTTGAACATAATCCATTCCAGAAGCCCATTTGGCTTCAGAAATGTTCGAGAGCTTCTTGCACTCAGTGGAAGCCACGTCTAGTGATGTTAAATTCTCGAGAATAATCTTTTGGAGCATATTCTCAAGAATATTCTCAATTAATGAGGTGTGTACATTTAAAGCAGCTGTGTAGACAGACAACACAGATTTTACGATTTGTGGAGAATATTCTCCAGAGAATTTTCTAGCGGAGAACATTCTCACCTCACCTCACCAGCTGCATCGCATGTTCAGGTCCCAAAAAACATTTTAAAATGGAAGGATTTACTTCCAGGTTTTCTGCGTTCGAGAACCGAAACTTACGACAATGGAGGCATTCGGGAACCGAGGTACCACTGTCACCTAATTTAGCCCTGAGAGGCCTTTAGCCATAAGACAGCAGTACTGCTTTATATGGAAAGGAGGGGAAAACTAGAAATATTTTGGAAAAGGTTTTTTAAAATACAACAAAGGGGCTTATGGGACAGGCCTTTGCACTGGTGTCCAGGGACCTGGGCAGTGGCACCATGAAGTACAGTAGAGCCTGTTTATCTGTAAGAGCAGAAGCCTATTTGGGGAAAACTGATCACTTGAGGAACAGTTTATTCCAAGGGGTGAGGAAGGGGTTGATTTATTATTTCTTCAGTTCTTCCTTTATTGCTTTTCTTCAAGTGGGTTGAGTGTGAGCATGCATTTCTATCGCTCCATTTTCTCATATATGCTTAAGGCTCCCCACTTAACACACGAGGCTGGCATACAATATGTTCCAGATGCAGAAATACGTGTCTTGACAGTCTTGAAACAGAACTATTTTATGTTTAGTATTTAATAACCTTCTCTTTGTCCCAGTGAAAATAAGTCACGGCTGAATTTCTCTGTCTCCACCGTTGATATTTTGTGCACCTGTTAGGAGACTTGCCATTTGAAACCTTTGTCTACTGA